TGTTTGGTCCTCCCGGGGGGGGGGGGGGGGTCCGCTCCCGCACACGCCTCGCTGGAAGATCGCCCTCGCGGCGGTGACGTTGGAGACCTCCGCCTCCATCGAGCCCCACGCGTGAAAGAGCGGCGTGTGCCTGAGGGACGGGTCCCGGACACGTCATGCACGCCTCCCCAGCCCCGCCCGCGGCAGAGGGTGAAGCGTGCGTCGGCTCGAGGCTGCAGCCGGTGGCGAAGGCGCGCCGCGCCCTCTCGACGTCTCCCTGCGCGCGGTAGTGCATCCCCCTCGCCTGCCGCGCCGCACAGACGCGTGAGGGGCGTGCGGCGGGCATATCTCCTCGGCGGGAGATATGGGGAGATATGGGGAGATATGGGGAGATATGGGGAGATGTCCTCGGCGGGAGCGAGAGGCCCTGCCACACGGTCCGCAGATACAGGGAGATATGGGGAGATATGGGGAGACATGGGGAGATACGGGGAGATACGGGGAGATAGAGGGCCTGCCACACGGCGCCGTCCGCAGATACAGGGAGATATGGGGAGACATGGGGAGACATGGGAAGATACGGGGAGATAGAGGGCCTGCCACACGGCGCCGTCCGCAGACTGCTTCCTCGCCGCGGCCTGCAGGAAGGGTCCGAGAAGGGTCGTGGGAGGGTCGCGGAAGGCCCGCGGCTCGTCTCCTCGCCGCGACCGCGAAGAGGCGCGAGGCGCTCGCTGCGGAGCCACAGCGCGCCTGGTTGGGCAAAGGCAAGGGTGCGGCCGGGGCTCTCGGGGCTGAAAGGCGGGAGAGGCTTCGCCGCCCAGCCTCCATGCAAGCCCACGACTGGAGGAGGTACTTGTTGTGCGGCTGGATGTGCAGCCCCTGTTGGAAGAGCGTCGCCGCCAGGTCGGTGTGCCCGCACCGCCACTCGAGCACGCCCCACGCGTGCAGCGTCGCGACGTTGGCGCCGTTGAGCTGCAGCGAGCGGCGGAAGGCCTGGTCACAGTCGATGATCACAGTGAACGCGCAATGAGTTCACCGTGCACTAGCCCGTCTCCAGCCGCAGCGAGCGACACCTCGCGGGCGCTCGAGAGCTGGCCTTGCCGCCGGTGCCACTGTCCGCTCACCTGGGCGGAGGAGGCGCAGCTGAGCGGTGGCGAGGCGGCCAGACGAGGCGGTCTGACGAGGCGGTCCGAGAGGAGGCCGGCTCACCGCCGCACGCAGTGCGCGAGCCGCACGGAGTGGCTACTAGCGACTCACCCTCCCCCGCTCCCGCACCTCCACTCCCCTAGCCGCTCACCTGCCACACGTAGTATGAGCGAGGCGCGCAGGCGAGCGCCAGGTCGAGGCAGCGGCGGGCGGCGCCCTCCTTGCGGCGGCGCTGCAGCAGCAGGCTGGCCGAGACCCAGGAGGGGGCGTGGCGAGGGTCGCTGCGCAGGGCGCGCGCGTAGAGATCGAGCGCCTCGTCCGTGCTGCCCCGCCTCTCCTGGATCGCACCGGCCGCCTGACACACGAGGCGGGCGAGTGCTGGCGTGGGGAAGAGGAGGAGGGAGAGGGCGCTCCGCGGCCTGCAAGAGGTAGGCGTTGCCCGCGTTGTGCGCGAGGCCGCGCTCGATCATCGCGATCGCGGCGTCCGGGTCGCCATCGCGCTCGCTAAGGCGCCCGAGGGCGAGCCACCCGCGGCCGTCCAGCGGGTCGAGTGCGACGCAGCGGAGGTAGGTGGCGCGAGCCCCGTCTTTGTCGCCGCGCCGCGCGAGTGTGCGCCCGCGAAAGACAAGGAGGTCCAGATTTGCCCGCAGTGGACGGTCCGAGCCAGGCTCCGACCAGACAGTGTAGGGCTGCTCCTCGGCATCGAGCAACGCCTCGCGCACCCGGAAGGAGAGATCTCGGCCGGGCGCCGCCTCCATGTGGATCGCACATCGTCGATGCGCGAGCCGGTGCGAGGCGCACGATGCGATTAGGAGCTGCATGTCTGGTTGCCGCAGCGAGTCGCGGCGTCGCCACTGGGCGCGCCACAGGCGGGGAGAATTCACTTTGGTTCTGCCAGGGACGCCCCTGGGTTAAGCTGGCGGCGTGCCGTTCTCCCATCCCTCCCTTGGGTTGTCTGTTTTCTTTCTTTCTTTTCTTTTCCCTGGGTTAAGCGGCGGTGCAAAACTCTTTTTACCACCTTCAATTACACCCCCGCGACTCCCCCAAACCGCCCAGGATGAGCTCCTGAGGTGCCAGTCCGCCCGAGATATGACCGGTTGAAGTTGGGGTTCCACGGTCGGTCAGTCAGGTCTCAGGATGGATGGAGGTGTCGAAACTGGATGGGGGTCAGCCGGGGAGGCTGTTGTGGTGCACCGGACCGCCCCCCCAGCACACCGTGCCCCACCCAACTGCATCCATGGGAGTCACAAACGGTGCTGCACTCGCGGCTGCAAGCACTCACGACACCAACCAAACCGCTGATGGTGCCCAAGCTGATGGTGCCCAAGCTGATGGTTTAGAGTTTCGTGAAAAAGTCCCGCGGGTCACCGTTGATAGGAGAGAGATGCGCTCCCCACTCCCGTTCCCCCGTGTTGTCCCTGATCGTCCTTCCAAGGATCCTGCTCGTGCAGGTGGGGACCCTGTCCTCCTCCCATCCCTCGCGGCTTGGGTTGTTGCGTTCTTTCTTTCTTTATAGGAGGGAGAACGACGAGAGTGGGACGACCGCGAGGTGGCATGAAGGTTGCAGCGAAGAATCGGCGAGGGACTGCGAAGAGAGATAGGAAGAGGCAGACGCCCAAGCAAGGGTGGGCGACGGTTAGCAACACACCTTCCTTCCTTCCAGTCAGTGAAATCCCTGTGTGGTGGCGGCGTGCCGTCCTCCCATCCCTCTTTTGGGTTGTACGTTCTTTCTTTTCATGTGTCCCCGCCCTGCACGATCTTGGTGTGAGACATGATCCGTCCCCTCACCCCTCGTCACTCCCAACGTTAAACAGCTCTAGTTGTGTGTCCCGTCAGATTGACTCTCTGTGTGTCAGTGTCAGTGATAGTCAGGCCGTGAGTCAGGGCTGTCCATCAGAGCTCCAGTAAGCTCGGAGACACCCCAAATTAGAGATTAGAGCGACTCGACCTCTTTGAGTCACTGCCTTCCCGGTGTCTATCTGAAGGAGTTACTTCCTGAAGTAACTACTTACTTCGAGAAGTAACTATCCCCGCCCCGCGCCTGCAATGGCCCCTAGCCCCCGCCCACAGCTCCCTAGACACAGGGCAGACCTGGACTGGAGCGGACTCGCTCCCTAATACTCCTCTGTGCTCTGAGGAGTGGTGGTCACCGTCGGAGTCGGTGTAGGAGCTCCACCGCGCCCGCCGGGGCTTGTTCTTGGACTTGTGTACGCCAGGCGTATCGTGCACTTGGTCGCGGAGGCGAAGAGACCTCCTGCGCTCCCCAGGCGGCCTCACCGGAGCCTGCGGCGTGCTTGGGCCTGGCTGGCAGGGGACGGTGGGGGGTGCGCTCAGTACAGTCGGGGGCGCCTGCACCGCGTGAAGGCGTGAATAAAGAAACGGAGCAACGGCGGAGATCATCATGCTCAAACTGTTGTCGGCGGGCGATGGCGCGATGGACTGAAACGGACGGCACGTCCCGGCTCGCGGTGCATGATGTGAGCGCGTGCGGCAGAGGCGCGCCTTGAGGCGCGGTAGCGCCTTGCGGGGCTTCATGCTTCGCCTTCGATTCGAGCCTTCGATCGTGTCGTCACCATGTCGTTGACTCGCTGACCCGTGACAGCTTTGACTGCGACCGTGACCGGGTCGGGTCGAGCGTCAGATGCCCCCAAAGCGTGCAAAGGGAAAGAAGCCCGCTGCCGCCGCGGCGGCGCCGGGCCCAGCGGCGGCACTACTCGCAGCAGCAGCTTCCACAAGGCTGCAGTGGGCGCCGGCCCCAGGTGCAGCTGGCCCAAGCACGTTGCCGCCGCCGGTCGTGCAAGCGGAGTATGGAACCGCCGATGATGACCTCGTGCGGGTCGGCCCCCAGCTCGGTGTCGAGCTCCTCCCGCCGCATCGGCGCGGCGGCAGAGCCGCCCCAGCCGCTGCGCCTTCGCCTGCGGAGGCTCCTGCGGCGGCTGCACCTGCTGCTGCGGGTGAGCCCGACGACGACGAGCAGCCTGACGGCGCGCGCATTCCAGACCTCGATGATGTCTTGGGCTGGGGGGGTGGCAAGGGTGTAGGAGGGCTCTCAGGAGACCGTTTGCCGGCAGCAGGGGGCGCGCGCTCGGCCGACATGTGCGCCAGAATGCCGCAGAAGTAACTATGAAGTACTGTGTTTGGGCTGTCTCCCGGGCGTGTTTGAACCCTAATTGTCGGCCCCAGTGACCGGTCTAGAGGTCTGTGTGTGGCCTGGGGGGGCCAAACAATAAGGCGAGGGGTTCCTAGTAAGCGGTTGGGGGGTGCGAGCCCGTGCTATAGTGCAGTGAATACTTACTTCCTGAAGTAACTTCATCCTTCAGATAGACACCGGCCGTTTGGCTGTAGACCGCCTCTACAACAAACTCTACAGCAAAATCGCGCTCTACATCGCTCTAACAACGCACGCAGTTCGTCACGCGGCGGATGTAGAGCTCTACAGCTCTACAGCGCTCCAGAGCGCTCTACATCTCTACAGCTCTATAGCACTCTACACTCTACATCCTCTATCTACACCCTCCCTCCCTCGACCTGACTATGACAGGCGGGATTTCTTGTTGGTTTTCAGAAATCTACACTCTACTCAGGAGATGAATGTGACGTCTCTCACAAGAACTCAAGAAGGGAGTGGCCCGAAAAAAGAAAAGGTCGTAAATCGAGGTCGTTCTAGGTTAGGTTAGGTATATAGAAAGGTGAAGAACAGTCTGGCTCGGACTGGACACCAACGCGGTATGGGTGGACGACGCGGGACAGGAGACGACGACACGCGCGAGCGACACACAGACACACAAACTCACAAGACACTCGTTCTCACTAAAGTGCTACGTACCACAGGCATCTGAAGTGAGAATACGTGGCCCTCGAGGATCGTAACGGTTCTGGACAGCGGGCTCTTTCACTCGAAAAGGGCACGGCGGGCGCTCCCGGGTCCGATACTTCGCGGGCAGGTTGTCTCGACATATGCCGCCGCCGAGGCTGCTGCTGCTGCTGGCGCTGACGCCGCCCTCGCTCGCGAGTGAATTCGCTGACCTCTGCCCGGGGCTTGGCTTCCCCGAGTCCAACCTACAGGGGCTGGTCCTCGACTTCGCCACCGACGACATCGGCGATGACTACAACAAGCTCGGCGGCTTCCCGGGAGGATTCACCGGCGCCCATGGTGCTGCTGCAGATTGCTTCCCAAATACCTGCGGCGGGACAGGGATGTGCTATGGCGAAGTCTGCCCCAAGCCAGCGGGCGCGCCGTGCGGCTGCGGCTGCCAGTGCTCCAACGTTGACTTTGATCCAGCGGACCAGTACATGCAGCTGGTTGGAGTCGGCAGAATCTTCGATGGCACTGGGAATCCGCCCACGATCGTCGATCTCAAGGTGACCAACACGAGCTTCTACATGCCGTGGGACAGCCACCAGAACGGCCGGGCTGTGGACGCGGTCTTCCCCCAAATCAGCATGGCATCCGAGACCACCACCACGTTCCGGTACGAGTTCGTCGCGACGGGGACAGACACGCCCTTCACGATTGACTACGGTGTAACACTCGCCCGACGCCCGCCGGCGCGCCCATGCTTCCTGCTCAGCACCCCCCCCCCCCCCCCCCCGGGCAGACTTCGACTTTTGCTTCTTTGACATGGACACGGGGCCGTGCGGCGGCGCCGACGCCGTCGACCCGCTCCCGACGACCTACCCGTTCTCGTGTCCTGGCGCATACCTCTCGGAAACTCTGCGTACGTGCGGCATCAGCGAGCACTTCATGCACGGTCAGCCCAAAGCCGATCCGAGTGACCTGATCTCAGACTACATCTGCCCCTCCACTGGCAATGATGCCGTCACCACGACTGGCTACCTCGAGGTCACCACAGGCGCTGCCGCCGGCCCCGTTCTCGTGTCCGGTGACGACGTTGACACCTGCATCAAGGTCGTTGGCATTCAGGAGGGCCGAGGCAGCGACAATCCGCACGCATTCTACGAGGTCTTCCCTGGCTTCGCCCCCACCGATACGATCACCGAACCAATCTCCTGCCAAGACTACAACACGTGCCCGGGCACGGGGACGTCGGGCGGCCAGCGCCCGCCGGGCAACATTGACAACACCCTCACCTGCACTCCGGATGAGATCGGTGGCAGCGGTGTCGCCGCTGGCATCTACCCCCCCGAGTCTGGCGGCTTCCGAGTACAACTGGCGAACAACCCGCTCCGCTACACCCTGCCCAAGTTCGCGTGCGTCACTTACCCGGCCGGCACCTCTTCCTTCACGGTAGAATACACGGTCTCACCCAACGCCGCCGACGCCGAGCCCGGTTACGGTCGCGCCTTCCTCTTCGCCGGAACCGCGCTTCCCGAACTCTGCATTGGGCCGCCACCTTCGCCTCCGCCGCCGACGCCGCCGCCCCCGTCGTCGCCGCCGCCGCCAAACTCGGAGCCCATGCCGCCGCCTTCTCCGCCGCCGCCCGCCCCGCCGCCGCCTTCCCCGCCGCCGCCTAACCCGGATGCGCCTCCGGCCGGTGGCGTGTGCTGCAAGTGGATGTGGGGCGGTGAGGCCGCCCCCTTCACTGGCCACTACAACCAGGAGCGCCCGGTCCACTTCGCCGACATCATGCCCTCGTGGCACCCGGCGCTCACCATCCCTGCGAACCTCGCCGTGGGCCTGAAGGCGGGCGACCCGATCCCGGCAGACACAGAGACCTACTCCACTTATTTCTGGGACAACGAGCAGCTGGTCCGCGGCGATTGGCACTACACCAACAATGGGGGTCCTAAAACGTTCTCCGACGCCGTGACCGAGTCCGCGGCGGAGGCTGCTCTGTCGGAAGTCGGGCCGCCGGTCAAGTACTACCCGACAGCGCAGGTGGTTCGCGCCTCCGGCGCGGTCCTCTTCTACGCGTACTGCTACCCGTACATGCTCTCCGCGAACATGTTTGTGTACAAGGGTCCCTACGTCACGCCTCCCGACCCCGACGACGACCCCGGATACTGGCAAGAGGTGTGGAACATGGTGTCGCTCTTCGCGCTCAAGGACAGCGACGGCAACATCTTCGCCTTCTACTTCGTCGACCAGCCGTGGGACGGTCTGAAGCCTCCCTCCAACCGCCCTCCTTGCCACCGCGCCGCGCCCCTCGTGTCCCGCGGCTCACGCCCCTCATGCCGCACTCGCAGGCTCGGCCGGCACCATCCAGATGAAGCTGACGGCGACCGGCCCGATGGCGGGCAAGGACTACTTCCTCTCAGACCTGTCTGCCGAGGGTGTAGAGAATGACGCGTTTGGCAAGGACGCCTACTACTACTCGCAGGGCGTAGGCATGTTTGACTGGGCGTGGCTAGAGTGCTGCACCGCCGGCATGGTGGTCGGGCCGCTGCCCGCCGGCGAGGGCAACGCCTTCACGATGAACTGGCAGCACCTGACCAAGCGGATGGCCGGGTTCCCGACGTACGAGGCGGACGGACAGCCGACGGGGCGCGACGCTAACTCGGGCGTGGTCCAGGGCGTGCGAATCTACCAGTGGGTCAACAACGGCAACTTCTCGCAGTTCCACCTCACGTACTACGACATCCCGATGGCGGTGGCCGCAGACTACCGGTACGACGCGACTTGGCATGTCATCAAGCAGACCATCAGCTTCGACTGCGGCACGGCGGACATCCCCTTCGGGACGGGCGACGACGAGCAGGAGATTGCGAGCTACCCGCTCCCAGAGTGGGCCACCACGGCGCCCGAGGTGCAGCGCGCCTACGCGGCTAAATTTGATGTGCCGCTCTGGGACGTGACAGTGCTGCCCGACATCGAGGCGTGCGTCTTCAACATCGAGATCAAGTACTATGCCAACAAGGATGAGACGATCCTGGCGAACAATCTCAACGAAATTTCCAACTTCAACGCCGCCACATGGACCACCATCTTCCTTTCGTCTTTCTCGTTCTCGGCGACCGCAGTCTCGATCGCCGAGCACCTGGACACGCCTACACAGCTCTTGCTCCGCTCGCCACCTCTCGCAAAGGTCCAAAGTCATAGCCACCACCTTCTCCGGCAAGTCCGTTTGCCGTACTCCACGCCTGGAAGAGGTCGTCGCCATAGCCGCATTGCATCACAGCCTGCTGCACTGCGCGTCGTGTAGAACACCCCTGCCACCCTATATGCCGCGCCTCAGCGTCGGAAAAGTCGCGCGCTCGGAGTCATACTCAGGCGCAGACGGCCGCGGGGATTTGGCAGGCGGCGAGGTGGGGGAGGGAGACACACAGCTCACAGCATGGCTCACAGGTGGGAGAGAGGGCTGACCGGCTGAGGCGTGAGGCGGGGCTCCCCACCTCTCCACACTCCACACCACTCACCAGCCTCCAGGGGGCGGAAGTCTAAATGCGTGTTCAGCATGACCGCTCGCTTGCTAGACAGGGGTAAACTTGTTTGGAAGTGCGATAGCGGCTTCGTGCGAGAATGACGAATGACGTGCGTTTGTAATAAATGAACGAGTGTAACAGGAAAACCGGGTTCGCTCGCCGCTATGTGGCGTGGCCAAAGGCCGCGTAGCTGCCGTCGAGGACAAGCCTCGCGGACGCCCACATGCCGAGCGCGGGCAGTGCCATCCAGATACCATTGGCCGGCACAACAATGCCCAGGGTATGCGCGCGAGGCGAGCGGCGGAAGCGGCCGTTGAAGAAGTACTGGAAGAAGTAGACGCAGGTGCCGTAAAACTCCTGCCAAAACATGACCAGGCCGAGCATGCCGAGGTGGCGCGCGTCGAGGAGCGGCGAAGTGATGCTGACTGCGAAGAGGACCGACGGCACCAGCGTGGTGAAGCCGTTTCCCACGTCGACGCAGAAGCCAAACGAGGCCTGGTCCGCGTAGCTTGGGTCGAGCGCGGCATACCTGTGCGAGCCGCCGGGCCACGGGCTCGCCGAGCGTTGTGATGGGCATCGGCAGCGGGCGTCTGGCGGACTCACGTTGCCCACATCGCGGTGCCGACGTACTCGGACGGTACGAAGACGGAGAGCATCTTGAGCAGCCCGACGTCTTCAAACAGAAAGACAGGCGGCAGCTTGCCCTCGCCGAGCTTTGCGCTGTGCTCCTCGTACCTGCGCTGGATGGCGGCGCTGTGGCGGAAGAGAGCAATCTCGCACACGCAGATCCATGCCTACAGGAGGACCTGGACCTAAGCGAGGAGACGGAGCACGCCTCTGGCGCTGGAGTAAGTTGCATTCAGCACGCAAAACGCGGCGAGCGCAAACTGAAGCGGACTGAAGAGCCCGTGCATCTGTGCGTGCAACCACGTGAGCAGACCCGTAAAAAGGGCGATGAAGAGTGTGACGCCGACCAGCACCTTCATTGGGACGAAGGCCGCGTGCTGCGGCAAGGAACGCCCGCGAGGCGCGGGGCGTGGGTTACTTTCTTTTTTGAACTTTGCCTTCGATTTATTGAAAACAACGCAAGGCGGACATGGCATATCGCTCTCGGGCTCACAGACATCCCGCACACCCGCCGCCCCCGCGCGCGCCCCACCCCGGCCGGGAGAAAGGGGAGTGACAGTTTGGGACGGCCACCTTGTGACGGTGCCCTGGCAAAATCGTCCCGATTTCGATGCGCGATTTAGCTAAGTCCCAGAGCCGTTTACGCATGAGCGGGCCCCCTCACCAGCCTAGGGCTCGCGCTTCTGGCCCGAGGTGTCGCCGCTGCCTCCCGCGCCCTCCGGCGCCTGCTGCTACTGCCGGTCGGCCGGTCGGGTCCGCGCGACGGCTCCATCCTCGAGACGTAGCGGTCGCTGAGCGCTTTCTCGACCGCTACGTCTTCCAGTGCACCCAACCACCGCGACCCTCGAACCTGCGCTGCGCGGCGCAGTTGCTGCCGAGCGAGACGCCCCCGCCCGCGCAGGGGCGGCATCACCAGACGCTCCCGCATGGCCGAGCAGCGAGCAGTGTGTGCCGCAGTGCCCGTCCGGGCCCTCTTGCAGCTGCCTCTATTGGGCGTAAACCGCGGATATAAGGGTCTATACGGAGGTGGGTGGCCTCTTAGAGGTATGGGAGCCGCTGGCACCGCGCTGGGCGCCGCGGATGCACGTACGAACGAACATTATGAAATCGGGACGATTTTGACCCAAAAATCACAAAGTGGACAGCCCGAGTATGTTGAGTCCTGGCTCAACAACGCAGGAAACAAGAGGGGGTGGTCCGGCTCACAAGTCCGGCTCACGCGCCTCGAGCTGACCATCTACCGCACTGAGCACTTCCGCCCGCTCGACTTTCTTTTTAGGAAAATAACTTTCCTCAAGGCGGAAGAAATCGCACACCTCACGGACACACTAGGACAACGTACTTGATGCCGGCGGCGACGCGCATCGTTGCGCCGCGGAGCATCCGGCAGCCGCGCAGAGAGCTTCGCACCACGACACGCACGCGGAGGGCGCGTTGAAGCGGAAGGTTGTGGGCGCGGCGCCCTTGTGCTCTAGCACTAGCACTGTGGGTGCGCCGTCGAGCACGTGAATACAGCGCAGCGCGTCAAGCGGCACCCGCGTCAGCTTGCCGCGCGGCGAACGGGTGCGGTGGTCGATGCGCTGGTAGCATAGCTCTGTGGGGGTCACGTGCACAAACCGAGGCTGCCAGAGGATGAACTGCAGGCCTCCGCACATCGCTTTGAATCGGGTTTGCTTTTCGAGCAAGCCGATGACAATCGGCTCCTCAAAGGGGCTCTTCGGCAAAGAGTCGTCTCGCATCTGCTGCTCAATCCACGAACGCTGTGACTGCACCACGCCGCCATTGCATCGCCCACACATGCGTGACCTTGCCGCCTGCTGTATGCGCCTCGCCGCCCTGGCCTCTGTCGACTCGCAGACGCGTTGCAGCGCCAGTGCAAAAGCTCGACCAACCTCTAGCCTTCGACGTGCTTGGCTCTGAATTCTCACCGCGGCGGCTTCGGCATCACTTGGCCTTTGCAAAATCGAGAGGCCCAAGAAGTGTGACGCTTTGGCGCCCCACTCCGCAGCGAGGCTCGCCCAGGTCTTGCCGCTGGCGGTCGAGGCCTCACACAGCTCAAGACGTACCGCAGTCGGCTCGGGAGCGTCGAGCCCATTTTGCGAAAGTGTGGACTTGTCAGCCAACTCGCGTGTCCCGTTCTCGGAGAGAATCCGCATGTGGTGCGCCGAGCTGCCACATCGGCGACGGAGCGAAGCCTTGAGCTCGTCGATAGAGGCGGTGGGACGAAGCCGAAGCACGAAGTGCTCATGCGGGTCGTTAGACAACACGAGGACCTCGACGACGCCCGGGGAAGACTCAGGCGTCGGCATGTAGCGCCCGTCGTCGCAAAGCCCGTTGCGTGCGTAACCGTGTGCGATAAGAGAAAGACGAAGGCATAGTAGTATGAGCCCGCTGAGCGTCGTGCTCTTGCGCAGGCGATCGGTTAAGTGGTGCACTAAACCCCAAGGAACCCTTCGGAATCGCAATTCCCTATGTTCGGCTGAAAAAAGAAAAATCCCCAACTCGAGAAACGAAGTCGGCCGTGCGTGAAAGGGGGCATACCGACACTACTTTGGGCAACGTCGAGAGCGCGCCCGTGTGCACCGTCAGCGTCAGCTATACTGCATCGCAGTAGCCCCCCGCCGCGGCGTGCATCGCAGTAGCCCCCCGCCGCGGCGGATGAGCGACGATGAGACCATTGTGAGTGGCCACACGGTGCGCATGCCGCGCCAAGAGCCGTCGGGGACGCGACCACTCAGCAGGCAGCCCTCTCCCATGATCATTGGAACGGCGCTCGTTGCACCGCTGCCATTGGATGCAGCTGCCGACAGTAGTCCTCTGACTCAGACGCCCTCGGCGGAGCCAGTCGCGGCTACACTTGTGCCGGTCGAGCTCCAGGCATCGCCGCTGCTGGCGCCGTTCGCCAACCTCCGCGAGCTCCGCCTCGCTGACCGAGGCGGTCCCAGCCGCTCCTCCACGCCGCCTCCGCCACAGAGCAACTCGGCGTCGTCCTCAGAGGCCATCCGGGCGGACGCGACGATAATCTCGTACGAAGAGGAGCAGCAGGAGCTTGAGCGGCGAGCCGAGTACCGGATCGCCCATCACAAGCTCTCTGTCCTCGAGAGGCTCGATCGCGTGCGGCGCGGGCAGCACTCTCGGAGCATGGCGCACGACTCCCCGTCCTCTCCGCGCGCGCCTGACGACGACGACGTCGACACCACCGACGAACCACCTTTGCTGGTTGCGCGCAGGAGGTCGCTCGGCGGAGACGCGATGGCGCACGCCGACGCTGGTCGCCGACGGGCGGCGGCGAGTGACTCTGGGGGGGCAACGCTCTGCGAGATTGACGCGGCGGCCAATTTTGCGGCAGCTCCGCGCTGCGAGGAGCCCCGGATTCGTGTTGGAAGCTTCGAGAGGGAGTCGTCGCAGTTCGAATCGCTCCAGTTTGAGGACGAGGAGTCCAAGGTACATCTAGAGCTGCGTGCCGACGATTCCGAATCCTCAGGCTTCGCCCTCGTGCTTGTTTCGTTTGCGCTCACGCTTGCCATCGGCTTCATCCTCGGCTCTATCTCCACCCTTATCACGCTCACAGAGTCGTGGATCTACGAAGGCCGTAAGCAGCTCGTCGAACGTGTGATGTGGCCGTGCGGACAGGCCTGCGCGGAAACGGAGGCGCGCCCAACCGCTGCCTTTTTTGCATACCTCGGCGTCAACCTGGGACTGGTCCTGGCCGCCGCACTGCTAACTACACTCGCACCGCGAGCTGCCATGTCGGGTCTCCCGCCGCTCAAGGCTTACCTCAATGGCACGCGCGTGAACGACCTTCTTTCGGTACGGACCCTCATCGCAAAGGTCGTCGGCATCACTCTGATCGTCTCGACAGGCTTGCCGCTTGGCCGCGAGGGTCCGATGGTTCACACGGGTGCGATTGTCGCGGCGACCCTCTCCCGCCTGCGCGTTCGCCCGATGCCACGCCTGCTCCTCGGCCTGCCGAGTCGCCAGCGCACCTGGATAGGGATGGGCTGTGCGGCGGGTGTTGCTGCCGCATTCAACGCGCCATTAGGCGGGATCCTCTACGCCTTTGAAGAGGTATGCTCCCACTGGTCTGCTTCGCTCACTTGGCGCTCCTTCTTTTGCGTCGTGATTGCAGCCTACACCTTCAATACATTCATTCGCCTGTACGTCGATGGGTCGGATGGGATCGCGGAGGGACAGCCCGGGGACACGGCGGTCGTCAACCAGGCGCTCATCACCGATAGCTTCATCATCGGCCTGGACGCCGAGGGTAGCCACAATTACGGGTACTCGGATTTTGGCTGGCTGGTCGTGATCGGCATTGTCGGTGGCATTGTCGGCTCGCTCTACACACGAGCGGTGATCTTCGGTGTCTCTTCACGCATCCGCCTTCTGGGCGGGCGCCCGCGCTTGAAGGTGCTCGACGCTCTTCTCTGGTCGACGATTGCGTTTTGCACGTTCTACTGGGCGGGCGCCTTCTCAGATTGCACGGCCTGCCCACCCGAGTCGTCCTGCTACGGCGGGGGCACAAATGCAACCGCCACGGACCGCATGCTGCAAGAGCTCCCCGCCACGTCCCGCGGGCGGAGGCTGGCGGGCGCAGGCGGTGGGCTTGTTTTTGTCCAGCACTGGTGCGAGGAGGGGGAGTACAATGAGCTGGCCACGCTCTTCCTCTCGCCACAGGAGGGTCTGATAAAGCACTTGCTGCAGCGCACCGAGGTTGAGGTCACGCCATCCGCCTTGGGCATCCTGCTCGCTCTCTACACCGTGATCGCGGTCCTCGTGTTCGGCATCGCGGTTCCGGCAGGCAACTTTATTCCCGCGCTCACCATCGGCGCAGCCATGGGGCGTCTCCTCGGCGAGGTGTTTCCGGATGACAGCGACCCGGGGCGGTTCGCGCTGATGGGCGCCGCTGCGGTCCTCTGCGGGGTGACACGAATGACCATCACCCTTGCCGCAATCCTCGTCGAGGTGACTCACGACGTGGGCGCGCTCCTGCCGCTCATGTTCACGCTCGCCGTCTCCAAGATTTCGGCCGATCTCCTCGCGCCGTCGTTCGACGACGGCATGATGCACGCGCAGCGGCTGCCCTTTCTCGAGGAGGAGCCGCCGCACGAGCTCGCTCTGCTCACCGCGCGCGACGTCATGTCTGACAAGGTGATCGTGCTGCGCGAGGTCGAGCGCGTGGGCGATCTCCTGGCCGTCCTGCGTCGATGCCGGCATTCGGGATTCCCAGTCGTCGATACCGGCCGATCCAACCAGTGCACCTTCTTCAGTGGTCTCATTCTGAGGCGACACCTGCTCTTTCTGATCAGCTCGCGTGCGTGGGAGTACGAGGTGCTGGGCCTCGCCGTTCCGATCAATGATAAGCTTGCCTTCGTCGCGTCCGGGAGCGGCAACGCTGCTGGCGAGGACGCGCCCGTCTCGTCGCTGCACATCTCGGATGAAGACCGCGACCAACTCTTGGACTTGAGGCCTTTCATGGATCCATGCCCCTTCTTGGCAAACGAACTAATGCCCCTTCACCGCGTCTACAGACTCTTCGGTGGCCTCGGCCTGCGCCATCTCCCAGTGGTCGACTGTCGCGAGCAGGTCGTCGGCATGATAACACGAAAGGATGTGCTCCCCGACATCATCGAGGAACGAGTACTCGCCAAGTCGCAGGCGCGCCAACGTGCAGAGAGGCCAGGCGATAGGGGCGGCGATAGCGTCGACCGCGGCGGCGCCCGTGGAGCCAGCGGCCGCCGCCGCGGCGACCGCAGTATCGGGCGCGGCTGCCTTTCCCGACGTGCTAATGTGCTCCGAACGGTCCACGAAAACCGGGGAACAGCCATGTTGGACACCACGAGCTTCCCCGACGACAGCTGTGGTGAGCTGTACGGTGGCGGTGAGCACGGAAAGCCGCTTCAGACGTCGGAGCCAGGTGGCGGTCTGCCCACCAGCCCAGCGTTCCCCGAGCCTGCGACCGGCGCTCACCACGATAGCACCTACTAAAGGAGATGCACGCGCATGTGCATGAGTGCATGTGCCTTTGAGACTTTTTGTGGAGGAGCGGCCGGGCCACAAAAGCGCACGATATTTGATGTGTGTATCGCGGCTCTAGCGCGCGCGGCTCCCCTCGCGTCTCGCCCCTTTTTGCCGCGTACTAATATTCTGGGATCCCGGGCCTCCCGCCGCGTGCGGCGCGGAAACCCTCTCAATACACATGAGCACCGACCTCTCCACGGAGCAACCCCGAGTTTAATATCGGTAACCCTGTGTTCTGTGAGTGTGTTCGCATCTCGCATCGTCGCATGTCGCGCCAGCCGTCACACTCTCTCTCCGGTCTCTCAACTCTCTCACAAAGTTGGGGGAGGTTATAGCCGAGCCCAGGCCGTCTTGAGTGCACCAGTGCGTGTCCCTCGATCGCCGGCACGATGGTTGGCTCCGCTCACAAGCGCGATCTGGGTGTGTAGCTCACGGAAGCCAAGGGACGTGAGAGCGTGGATGACCAGCAGAGCGCATTCCGAGTCACCGCCGTCGTCGAGCGATGAGAGTGCGCCCTCAGCCAACCCCGCCTCTCTCGCTGCCGCCACACTTTGGTCGTTGCCGTCCACCAGTGCGCGCAAGGCCAAGAGGCTGTTGTCGCGGATATCCGCCGGCGTCGCATCCCGGTCGAGGAGCGGCGAGAGCAAGGGCAGCACGCCATGCTCACGTGCTGAGTCTTGCGCCTCAGGAATCCCATCGGAGAGTGCCTCGATAGCGCCGAGCGCCGCTTCCAGCCCCTCCGCCTGTGGACCACCGCGAAGAATGCAGACTAACTTCGGTATCGCGCCCATTTCCACCAGAGAGCGGCGGGTGTCGGCGTCCGCGCGCATTACGGCGCCGTCGAGGAGCGTCGCGGCGCGTGATCGCACAGTCCAGTCGTCCGAGCCCAGCTGCTCGACCAAGCGGGGCAGCCCGCCTCCAGTGGCAACTGCGGCCGAGACGGAGCGAGCGAGGGATTCATCGCCCAACGCTGAGAGGGTGCCGAGAGTAGCGGCAGCGAGCGACGCGACTCGCTTCGACCGATCGTTGACGCGCGTAACGAGTACGGAAGGTACCCCAAGTCTAACAACCTCGGCGCGACAAAACGCGTCTAGGCCTGCGGCCAGCGAGATCGTCTCGATGGCTGCCGCGGTGAGCTTCGCTGGCGCGTCCTCTTGCGAGATGATGCCCGCGACGGTTTGGAGACCTCCCGCCTGCCCCAAGCTGGTCGCCGAGAGCCTAGACCCGCGCAATAGCGTGCAAACTGCCTCAGCTCCTGCCTCGGCGCCGGCGCGCGCGGGAAGGTTCGTGGAAAATCCGCCGTCGAGCAACGGGAGCAACGCATCGATTGCCCCGGCGTCCCGCGCCCGCTGCTGCGCTTCTGGGCGGAGGGCGGCCATGCGGGCGATTGCGGCGGCACTGGAGACGGCTGCGTCCGCAGCGGGCCCCCGGGCAAGGCACTGGACCATCGCTGGCAGCGCCTGCGCCTTGAGGAGCACTTCTGCACAGCCTGGATCGCACGATATTGCTGCGATCGCCGCTGCCGCCGGGGAAGCTAATGTCAACGGCGAGGCAGGTGCCAAGTGGCGGAGAAGGCGTGGTATGACTCCGGCGGCGACAAGAGCAGTGCGGGCGGGCGGGTGGCCGCTGAGGGAGCGGATGACTTCAAGAGTAGCCTGCTGCCGTTCACTGCTGCCGGCCCCGGGTGAGACGCTGCCGACGTGTGTGATGAGGAGACGCGGCCCTTCAGCCTGGACAAACTGTTCGAGTAGCCGAGGGTGGTGCGACTGGTTGGCGCAGAGCGCCTTGAGGACGAGTGTGAGGTCGAGCACGCCTCGCTCCGAGAATGGGGCTCCAAGGAGGGCAGCGATGCGCGACAGGCCATTTAGCGCAGCCAGCTCCAGCTGCATCGCCTCGTCTCGCGCGCAGAGCGTCCCGACGGCGAGCGCGGCCTTGACTGCCACGTCTTCGTGGGGCGACTCAAGGAGGGCCGCGAGGGCCGTCAAGTCCTTTGAGGAGACCGCATCATCCACGCGCGAAACATCCGAGTCGGTGCTGAGCCTTGCGCGACCGGAAGCCACGGCTGTAGCCCGAGCTTGTCCGGATCGTAGCGTGTCCTCCACAAAGGACGTCTCTGCCACCTCCGGCTCGCTGTGCCGCTGCGCTGCCTTCCGCGCGCCCTCCTCCGCGCCCTCCTCCCGAGCACGAGCAATCTGACGAGCGGCGGCCCGAAGGCACTTCCTCATCGCCACACTTAGCTCCTGCGCCATCTCCTCCCTCTCCAACCTGGCCTCCGTCTCTGCCGCAGTCGCGTCACTCAGCACCCGCTGGGTAAGTTCTTTCTGCTCGCCTGGTTTTGCCTCAGCTGCTCCAAGGAGGAGTTGCTGAAGGCGCCCTCGCCGCTTCTGCCGCTCGGCGGAGTCAACAGGCTTCTGCGATCGTTTACGCGTGGCTCGCTGCTCCTCACTCCCTCGACCCCTCTGCTCCTCGCTCCCTCGACCGACGCCAGGCTGCAACGCGCGTGAACGTCGCTGCCGCGGCTGCATCGCCGACCCCACGTCGTCGCCGCCGCCCGCCAGTTGCAGCAGGTAGAGAGGTGTTTTGTCGCGCGACCCGTCGGCGGCAACGCTGAGCAGGACTGTGTGCAGCTGCTGCCAGTCATCGACCGAGTTGCAACGCTCGGAAAGGTGCCGCACGTGATTGAAGAAGCGTGCATCCACGGGCTGTGCACCCGGCCCTTCGCCACGGGCAATTTGCCACCCGACAGCAAAAACCGCATTCACGATCGAACCTGCCGGCTCCGGATGGGCGATCGCCATCGCTCACCTTCAGCAGTTACACTTTTTACAGCACAGCCTCGCGCGACGTGTCACAAAAAGGATTTTACAAAAAGGAATAAATAAATAAAAATGCGATGCTCGTGCAGGTGGGGACCCTGTCCTTCTCCCACCCCTTGTTTGGTGTGTCCGTTTTATTTATTTATTTTATTAGCGGAGCTGGGAATAGGACCGCCGCAAGCGGCGTGGAAGGAGCGGTTGAGCATTCCTCCGGGGGCCCCTCTGCGCCGGGGAGGCGTTGTTGGAGGCTAGGACGCAAGCGTCCGTCGCCCTTTCTCAAACTCGGGGCCGCCCACTCCGCTACGCTCCGACCCGAATTTGGAGGGCCTAAAAGTTTAAGGTGTTGCTGCGCAAAAGGGGTCGGACACAGGGCGCAGCTCATGCTAAGAGCTAGAAGGGGAGCTAGAGAGAACGACTACCCTGTCCCGTTATTGCGTACACCAACACCACAAAAGCTCTCTCTCTCCTGTCCTCACTCAGGGGGGTCACAACTACCGAGTCCCGCGACTAGCTGCCACGTTGCCGACCGAGAGCGGATCTCCTCCTGCTCCGCAAGGAGGGTGGCCAAGGCTAAAGTCTTGCCGGAGCCGCCGGGCGCGTTGACGACTTGGAGAAGGTCGCCCTTGTACTTGTACTTGTAGAGATGCTCGAGGGGGTGCTTTGTGGGGCGGTGCGCAGCCAGGCCAGCAGTGAGGGGAGGCGCACCCTCACTCTCCTCGGTTGCAGAGCTCGTCGGAGGCTGCGGCACGACGGGAGGGTCACGACAGCAGTCCTCGGGCGAGCCGACGCGCATGTCCAACCAGCGCTGGGACTCGTTGTGACGGCAGACGCCGGCTGCCTCTCCAACCGCTTCTGCAGCGTCCTTCTTTGCCCGGTGCATGGGCTCGATCCGATTCCGCAGCGTGTCGTCCCCAGCGGCGGTGCTGCGCGGGAGGCGGCCGCGGGCACGCTGGGCTCGATCAGCTTTCCCTAGCACGGATTTGGCGGACGTTCTCGGCTTCAATTTTACGAATGTCTTGGCACCAGCTGAAGGCTTGCGTCCCACATCGCCTGTAGGTATATTGTTGGCACATCGCCGGATTCGTGCACGGTATTCGGATTTTGCTATTTGCTCGTGTGGGGGTATATTGCAGATTTGTCAATGGTACCGCGTCTGCGACGCGGGCGCCTTGCGGGCAGAGCCCTTAGCCACCCTTTATATCTTGCGCGGTCATAAATAAAAACGGACACCTCTCTAGAATCAGGAAATCCGGGGACGACCCACTTCGCCACAGACCGTCCGGCGCCTCGCCGCTATGACGGGGACACACCCCGCACCGTCCGCGGTGTCCCCGTCTTTGTCCGGAGTGAAAAGTCCAACGCGCTCGTCGGTGACGGCGTCCCCGGATTTCGCCGCGCTCGGCGAACCTCGACAGCGCTTTCGGTGGCATGCAGCTCTTTGCGACAGAAGCCTGGAGAGCAGCTCCTCTGCTGCTCACACACTCTGCACAGTTGACACAGCCTACTGTGCGGCTGCCACAGCTGTGACAGCGATGGGCTCGCCCTCACTGGCCCTCAGTCACTTGTGCTGCGGCTTGTGTGAGCGACACTGCTCGGCGACTGCCGGCACACTGTGAGACCGTGGGTGTGAGGTAAAACCACGCTACCAGCGCTTGGTCACATCGGCCCCGAGGTCAGATCCATCTACTCTGTTGATGACAAGACTTGTCTACTGGCTGGAGCCGAGCAGGAGGGCCCAGCGCACAACCCCTGGTCAACTCCTCAGGGTCCACACCCCGTAGCCGTACTGAGTACTGTGAGGTGGGTAAAAAAGAGAACAGAAAGGAATCGGTGCGAACGTTTGTTTCTTTTTTTCTAGAGGAACAGCACATTCTCAAGGTATAAGCTCTCTAACATCGTGTTCATGTCGGCGACTGCAGCGGTCGCCAGCGGCGCCCCCCGTCCGAAAAGTCCAGCGCGCAGTCCTCCCACGAGCCGTCAGAGTCAAAGCAGAGCGTGTGTACGATGGCGGCGCTGTCGCCCTCGCCGACTCGGAGCCTGCGCACGACCGTCGCGGCGCACCACCCCCACTCTTCATTCCACCAGTACTCCAGCCGCGCGCCGTCCGGCAGCTCGGTCGGCGGCTCGGCCGCGTCGCCCCGGAGCGGGATGTCGATGGGCGAAAAGCTGCCGCCACTCAGCACCGCGCGCACCGCCTCTGGAAAGCCGGCGGCGCCCGATCCGCGCGGCGTCGGCGCGCCGGCCTGCAGCTCGCGCAGGTGGCGAAGGAGCAGCTCGAGCCGCTCCGACGCTGCCGTGCTCGCGACCGCCGCGACGGCGTCCGCGTGGTCGAGCGCGAGGAGAGCGCAGAGCGAGAGCGAGAAGTGCTCCCACCGCGCCGCCTGACTCGGGTACTCGCCACGCTCGACGCGAAGCCGGTGCGCCCGCAGCAGGCTCGCCAGAGAGCCCACCTCTTCCTCCGGCGTGTCGCCGCACAGCTCTCCCAGCGCCTCCTCGACCTCCGCCTCTAGCGCCGCCGCCCGCCCCGCCTCGGCGGCGTCCGCGGGCGGCGCGTCGCCAAATGGAGTCACCGTGCCGGACGCGAAGGGGAAGGTGGAGACTATTGCATCGACACGGAAGCGAAACGCGGCCTCGACCCTCGCTGTCGTGGGCGGCTCGATGCCGTCGCGATTGAGGAGCGCGCGCTGCTCGCCGGGCTGCGGCGTCTGCAGGTCGAGCAGCCGCACGGCGACGCCCACCGCGCCCTCCGTCGCCAATCCACGCGGCGTGAGCGATAGCGTGGCGGCCAGCGGCGCCTGACCCGCCTGCACGCACATGCCGAGCAGCCTCTCCTCGGCCTCCTCGGCCGCCTGGCAGAGCCGCCGGTAAACGGGCCGGTCAAAGGTGAAACGGAGCACCTCCCGTTGCTCCGTCGCGCCGGGTAGCGGCGGCGTCGGGAATGGGAAGGGAAGCTCGTCTGAGAGCGGGTCGAGGAGAGGCAGGCGATCGCCGGCGCTTGCGAGACACAACGCCGCTCGCGAGACGAGCTTCCCTTCGCGAGAGCAAGGCGCGGCGATAAAGCTCGAGACGAGGGCGAGCTGCGCGGCGGTCAGCGTCAGCGACAGCATTTGGTCGGGAGACACAGGTCAGGAGACAACCGGCCCCCCCCCACGCAGTCGTTGGCAACTCCGCCGTGCAGCTTTCAAAAGAACAAACGCCGCTGCGGAGTCGGCTGGGCCTACAGCAGAAAGGAGAATCGCATTAAGCACCATGACAAAAGGGCAAAAAGGAAAGGGAAACTCCAGGCTGGGTCGAGGACAGACAAAACAAACGCTCATTCACGAGGATTTTGCAAAAGGCGAGGCAGGGGAGGGAGCGCGCTGGCGCGAAGGGGCAGGGCACGAGCACAACCGCTACCCCAACAATTCGTCCGCGCTGTCCGGGTGCGGCATGGCTTCTGCGCTGCCCCCCGACTGGGAGGAGGTGGCCGACGAAGCGAGTGGAAAGGTCTACTTCTGGAACACTAAAACCGACGAGGTGTCCTGGGACCGCCCCGCGCCTGCGGTGAGCGGCAGTATCGGCGGCGGCGGCGGCGGCGGCAGTGGCGGTGGCGGTGGCGGCAGCAGTGGAGGCGGCGGCGGCGGCGGCGGCGGCGGCGGCGGCGGCGGCGGCGGCGGTGGCGGCGGCGGTGGCGGCGCGAGTGCGGCGGCGAGTGGCGACGGCAGCGAGGCAGCCGCTTGGCTCCGTGACAACGAGGTCACCCTCTCGCCCGGCTGCCCGCCGCCGCTGCTCACCTTTGCCGCCGCCCGGCTTCCGGCGTCCATGATGAGCGAGATCGAGCGCGCCGGCTTTGCGCGCCCGAGCCCGATCCAGGCGGCCTCGTGGGCGCCCGCGATGCAGGGCCGCGATGTCGTCGGCATCGCCAAGACGGGCAGCGGCAAGACCCTCGCCTTCCTCGCGCCTGCCTTTGTGCAGATCATCGGCGGCGGCCGGCGCAACTCTCCCGACCCATTCGCGCTGGTGATGGCGCCGACGCGCGAGCTGGCGACGCAGATTCAGTCGGAGTGCGAGCGCTTCGGCCGCTCCTCCGGCATCCGCTCTGTCTGCCTGTACGGCGGCGCGCCCAAGGGAGGGCAACTCGCGGAGCTGCGTCGGGGAGCGCGGCTGCTGCCCCAACCCGAGCCCCGCGACGCGTGCACCACACGCCCACGACACGTCCACGACACGTCCACGACACGTCCACGACACGTCCACGGCACGTCCACGACACGCGTCCGCGGCACACCCTCCGACGGCTCGCCCCGCGGCACGCCCCGCAGGCGCGCTGCTGATCATCTGCACCCCCGGCCGCCTCAACGACTTTCTCGAGTCGGGCCAGGTGCGGCCGATGCGAGTAGGTGGCGCTGGACACGTCCATGACACGTCCATGACACGTCCCGCAGGTGCGGCTGAGCGAGGTCAAGTACGTGGTGATGGACGAGGCACGCCGGGGCCCGAGACGCGCGCCCGTCGAGGCCGTGAGCCGCGCCCCCCAGCCGCCACCTGCGAGCAGGCGGACCGGATGCTCGACATGGGCTTCGAGCCGCAGATCCGGACCATCATGGCGCGCGTGCCGCGCGGGTACCAGTCGCTCATGTACACGGCGGCCTGCTCCGCGCGAGGGGCGGCGCCGCAGGCGGCACCCTCCCTGACCCCTGTTGAGAGCTCTGCAGGCGACTTGGCCGCGCGAGGTGCGACGGCTCGCCTCCGAGTTCCAGCGAGAGCCGTGCCAGGCGCCGCCGGAGAGAGCTGAGAGGTAGCCCGGAGATGGACCGGAGATGGACCGGAGAAGCCGTGCCAGCCGCCGCCGGGCAGGAGGAGGAGGCGCAGCGAGCAGTGGGGTGTGCGTGTCGCCGAGCCGCGCAGCGCAGGGAGGTCTCCATACCATACCCAGAGAGCCGCGCAGCGCCGCAGGTGATGATTGGCGGCGCCGAGGAGAAGCTTACCGCCAACCGCGACGTCGAGCAGCGCATCATCACGGTCTCCGAGGGGCGCGAGAAGGACGTGCACCTCATCTCGCAGATCAACACGCTGCCCGCCGCCTCGTGCGCCGCCGCCGCCAGCCTCCCCTCGCCGGCCGCCTCTGCCCTGCCGACCCCGGCCGCCGCCGAGCCCTCAGGCGCGTACTCATCTTCTGCTCCACCAAGCGCTCGTGCGACGCGCTGCAGCGCGCCCTCTCGCGCCAGATCGGCTGCAACGCGATGCACGGCGACAAGGAGCAGCGGGAGAGAGAGCGGATGCTCGCCGACTTCCGCTCGGGCCGCGCGCCCATCCTCGTCGCGACGGACGTCGCCGCGCGCGGCCTCGACATCAAGGACGTCCGCATGGTCATCAACTTCGAGTTCCCGCCGCGAATCGAGGACTACATCCACCGCATCGGCCGCACCGGCCGCGCCGGCTCGAAAGGCATCGCCGTCTCCTTCATCACCTCCGCCGACATCAAGGTTGCGGCGCCGCTCGTCGCCATCCTCCGGGACGCCGGCCAGAAGGTGCCGGCTGCGCTCGAGAAGATGGCGGCGCTCGGCGGCGGCGGCGGCGGCGGCGGCGGCAGCAGAGGCCCGCGCAAAGGCGCTCCGAGCGCGAGCGGCGCCGGCGCCGGACCAGGGCTGTACGACTTTTGATCCCCATTGGTGTGCGCTCTCGCTTGCACCTCCGTCTATCTACGGTTGACGGCGCAAGCGTCCGACACCTTGTCGTGTTGATGCTGCGCTGAAGATGCGTGGGCGCTGCCTTTCTCCTCTGTCCCTGCCTTTGAGTTTTGTCGCGCCCCGCCGCCGCGCGAAGTGCCGCGCACGGCGCCACGGCCGCGTCGGGCGGCGGCAGCCACACACGCGGAGAGCGGCGCGCGCCGCGCGCAAGCTTTTGTTGTATATGAAAATCTTAAAAAAGAGAGATTCGAAGACCAAACATGTCACACGCACCCGGACCAAGAGCTCCCCCTTCAGAGCAAAGCAACACTGCCAGGAGGGACGCCCCGGGCCACGGCCGCCAGAGGGGGCCCCGGGTGCCAAAAAGGTGTCATGCAGGCTGCATCGTGCGGGGGCCACATACACAGGTTTATAGTTCTCTCGGTCAAGAGGCCGTCTTGCTATCCATGCGCTTCTGTGCGGCCTCGCAATCCAGCAGCGTCTTGAACTCATCGAAGGATATTTGACCGTCTCCGGTCTGGTCTGCTATACGCATCATCTCGTCCACTTTCGTGTCGTCCGCATTCCAGCCGAGCTTGACGAGCATGCTTCGGAGCTCGTTCCTGTCAATCTTCCCCGAGCCGTCGGTGTCGAATCGGTCGAATGCTCGCTTGAGGGCGCTCGACTTTCGGGATGCCATCAGAGGCCCGATTGCGCTAGCAAACTCGTCGAAGCTTATGTCGCCGGTGTGGTGCGAGTCGATGAGCTCCATCACCCCGTTCGCCTCCTCCTCGCTGGCGCCGAGCGCTTTGAATTTGGAGAGGAGCTCCGCCATCGAGATGGTCCCGCTGTTGGCCGTGTCGAACGAGTCGAACGAGACGCGGAGCTCTGCGAGGGCATCTGGACTGAGCGGTTTCTTCGGGTCATAGTCCGGGTTGGTGCTCTGGAAGGTGCGCAGCTTCAACTGGTCCTTGTCCGCGGCGGTCGGCAGGATGGTAATGAGCTCAATGGCGCCGATCGCGGCGCGCCATGAGCGGCGCAAGTCGTTGAACATCTTGAGCCTCTTGTCCGAAGCGGGCAGCGGCGCTGCTGACGCGTTTCCCATCACCCATTTATTGGCCAACAGGTCGCTCGAGGTGGGGCGCCTCTCGGGCGCGGTTGAAAGCAGCTTGGTGATGAGGTCTTTCGCCTCCTTTGACACGCTGCCGAAGCATTCGGGATCAAACGCCCACTGATTACTGAGGACCCTCTTTTCGATGACAGGGTCGGCAGAGTCGCCGCCCGGGTCGAATGGGTTGTAGCCGCCGAGGAGGATGAACAGGAGCACACCTGGGGCGAGTGATGGTCGGCGTCAAGGACGGGAGTGGACAGCGAGGAGCGCGAGGAGGGGCGCGCCGAGAGAGAAGGAGTCGACCGCCGGTCCGTAGCCATCGCCGCGGATCACCTCGGGCGCCATGTACCTGTGGCCGTGGTTTGGGCTCAGCAGTTGCAAGCTGGCACAGAGGAGTTCCGGCGCGCACCCGGCAGTGCCCCAGCGGCCAGTCACCGGCTGGTCCTTTGGGATGAAAGCAGCGCAGCCAAAGTCGCAGAGCTTGACGTTGGCTTTGTCCGAGCCGTCCGTAAGCAGCAGGTTCTCTGGCTTGATGTCGCGGTGGCAAACCCCTCGCTTGTTCGCGTGGTCGAGCGCGAGCGCCACCTGGCGCACCACGTCTGCAGCCGCACGCTCGGAGAAGGGCCCGTTGTCACAGATACGGTCGAAGACCTGCACACGGGAGCTCGCTCATCCAGGCCAGGAGGCCAAAAGCGCTGCAGTGCAGGAGATGGGCGCACGCCTCGCCGCCCCGCGCGAGGTCCATCACGAAGGCGTACTCGGTCGGCAGCTCAAACGCATCAACGAGCCCAACGATGTTGTCGTGAGGGCTGACAGCGCGAAGGAGCTCCGCTTCCTTCTCTGCCATCGCGTCGCACAATTTGGAGCGCTTCTTCACAATCTTGAGTGCGTACTGCACTCCCGACTTGGTCGCAATCTTGACCACCCCAAACGCGCCCTGCCCCAGCTCTGCACCCATCTCGTACTGAGCTAGCTTCTTCTCGGGCTCGACAGCATCGAAGCTCGGTTTCGAAGCAAACAGCGAGTTTGATGGCTCTGACCTCTGCTGCAGTGCGAGCCCACACGCGCACGCGGCGGCCGCCGCCGGTCGCACCAGGGAGCCGTGCCTAAACAGCAAACGTTGCGCCATCGGGTCCAATTTCGCCGAACACACAACTCCACGCTGTTGCACGTGAACTGGCTGCGGCAGGAGGCGTCACCAGGTCTTGGACACAGCACCGATGACGACTTAGTGTGGGGAGGGTCGGCGAGCACTCACTCACTAGGCGGCGCCGCAGGGCCGGGGCACTGGCCACGGCCTCGCCGACCACTAGAAGGCGGCCCACCCACTACGCGCACTAAGTTGGTTGGTGGGCGGGGTGGCTCACCCACTAGCCCGCTCGCCGGCGGCCCACTCACTACACGCGCGGCCGGCCGGAGGCACTCACTTCCGCACACTAAGTTAGTGCGCGTAGTAGCCGAGCCCGCCTCCGTCCGCCAGCGAAGGGTACTACGAGCGGCCCGCCGGACCACTCCCCTCGCGGCCGGCCGGAGGCACTCACTTCCGCACACTAAGTTGTTTGCGCGTAGTCTAGCCGTAGTGTCCCGGCCTCCGACCACGACTCCCGGGAGCACTTCACCACTTGACCCTCCTCGGCGCACCACTAGCCCTCGTCCAGCTCACAGACTAACTTGCGTCGACTTAGTTCCCCGCAGGGCCCGGGACCACTCACTCCGACTACACCATCGGTGCTCTTCACACGAGTTAGTGACGCCTCCTGGCTGCGGGCTGGTTGCTGCGGGTGCAACTCGCTGCTTCGCTTTTGAGATTCTCGTCAACAAGCTGAACGTGCGGGGCCCTAGGCGGGGCCGCACGCATTGTGCGTCACAACAAGAAAAAGCGGGTTGAAAAGGGGGGGGACGCTAGTGGGTGGGCGGTAAGCCCCCAAAATCACCCCGTTTTTGCCCATTTTCGGTCGTCCGTCAAAATATCTGAAGATCTGTCCGGTGGATTCTCCCCAAACCTTGCTCAGCTGATCCAGCACGGGTCGTAGGCCAGGCCTGGGCAAAGAAACCAGTACCTCATCGGGCTTCCCTGAGCGTCACAGCTCTGTGATCGCGCCGGCCAGACACCACTGTGACGTCCGTTCCGGGCATTTGAACGCGACCCTCGAGGGCAAAGACATTGGCTTTATGGCTCAGACTGGACTCCTCTTGGTCCCTTCTGATGCCCTAGGCCACACCTGGGCCTTACCCGGGGTCCTAGGGGGCGGGCAGGGTTTGCCCCCCGAAAGTGGCCCGGGGAACCTTAACACAGTCCGCGGCATTAATGACCGCAGCGAATATGTTCACACCTTGAGCGGAGGCCAATTGATTCGCGATACTCTGGCAAAAAAGGGGTTGGCAACGGGCTTTTGCGGGGGCAAGCCTTCAGCTGGTGCCAAAACGTACCAAAACGTCCGTCCCGTCGACCAAATACGCGGTCGGTAGAAATGGCTTGCTTGCAAGAATGGGATGCCGACAGGCGTCAGGCGGCGCATGCCGAGAAGTCGCTTGCCGTGCGGGAGCTCGTGCGCCTCTCCCTGCGCGTGCAGTCCACGGGCGTCGTCGCGGAGCTTCATCTCGACACGGCACTGGTTGCTCCGAGCGGCAGCGGAGCTGATCACGAGCGACGAATTCGCCGGGGATGCCAGGCAACAGATGGGCGCGCAGATAATTGGCGTGGCGTCCTAAACAACGCGACCGACGAGCATGCTCAACTGCTGCGCGACGCTCTCTGCGACCCCGACTTTTGTATGCGCTTTGCCATTCGCCGCCGCATTGGCTCAGGGGGCACAGTCCGCTTGCAGTGGCTCTTCCGCACGAATAGCGTTGTTGGCCGCATGCGTCCTGGCATCGGGAGGGTCCGCCTAAGAGGAAGTACGTTCGTACGTACGTACTTATAGCTTACTGGGAGAAAAGAGAGAGGGGGGTTGTGTTCTCTAGGCCCCTAAGGGCCCTACGCGCGGCGTGAGAGCTCGGAAGCGAGCTTTGCACGGCGATCGAGGATGGCACGGTTTACCCCCTTCACCGAAGCGATGGAGATGCGTTCCGCGTGGTGTGACACAAATGAGAGGCGGGAGTGGGGAGGGTACGCGGTGCGGTCAACGCCCGAGCGTTGAGCCTTGCGCGCAAGGCGGTTGATCTTTGCAACTGCTGGCGGCGAGAAGCCGCCGCCGAATGTCTCGTGGAGAAGCAGGTTGAACTTGTTGCGTTTGGTGAAGATCCCATCATGGTAGTGGCCACGCTGTGACTTCTCGTTCGTAAGAACTGATACATATACTTTTTGTGCGTGGAGCGTCTTCCCCTTTTGCGCAGCAACACCTTAAACTTTTAGGCCCTCCAAATTCGGGTCGGAGCGTAGCGGAGTGGGCCCCGAGTTTGAAAAAGGGCGACGGACGCTTGCGTCCTAGCCTCCAACAACGCCTCCCCGGCGCAGAGGGGCCCCCGGAGGGATGCTCAACCGCTCCACGCCACGCCGCTCGCGGCGGTCCTATTCCCAGCTCCGCTGAGTGCGTGCGTTATTCTTTTGACATCCTCGAGTCCCGCCGCGCATACAGCCTCATGCCCTCTGTGACCGAGTCCGGCGCCGTCTCGCTCGAGGAGGGGGAGGAGGTGCGCGTGCGCGAGCGCACCCACCTCTACATCAACGAGCGGTGCGACGGCACGGGCGAGCTGCTCGTCACCACTCGCCGTGTAGTCTGGGTGCCAGAAGCGCCTGGCGCGCGAGGCCTGTCAGGATTCTCGCTCTTCTACCCGGCCATCGTGATGCACGCAGTGAGCCGCGACACGAGCGCCTTCCCGCACGCCTGCCTCTTCATGCAGCTCGACCCAGAGCAGAACATCGGCGAGCTGGCTTCCGCGCAGACGACACCGCAACCGCGAGGCGCAAAGCGCACTCGCGTCGCCAACGGCGGCGGCTCCGCCGAGGGTCTCGTGAATGGCAATGGCGAGGCCGCGGAAGCTGCGCACGAGGAGGGCGACGACGAGTCGGAGGGCGAGGGCGAGGAGGAGGCGGGCTGGGAGGACATCCGACTCGTGCCTGCGGGCGAGGCCTCTGAGGCTGCGGCCGGCGGCGACGCGCTCGAGCGCATCTACGCGGCGATGAGCGAGTGCGCTGCTCTGAACCCCGACCCCGCGGACGAAGAGAGCGAGGAGGGCGAGGAGGGCGAGGAGGGGATGATGCCTGGCGACGGGGTGCTCTTCACGAGCCCGGACGCGCTCTCGTCGATGACGCTGCAGCAGGAGGGCGCCGCCCGCCGCCGTGCCCGCACGGCCGCCCCTTGAGGCCCCACCCCTTCCCGCGTGCAGGCGGCTGCGCTCGATCGGTACGACGACCTGCTCAACAGCTCGGCCGACGGCCGCTTTGACGACGCCGAGGAGGAGGAAGAGGCGTGATAGGAGGAGGAGTCGCGCGCTTCGGGGTGTGGCCGTCCGGAGAGCGTAATCGTAATTGGAGCGTCTCGTGCACTCAAGATTCGGACTGCTGTTTGTGGCGCGGTGTGCAGCGTTCCGCTCCCTGTCCGTTGGCGAGAGCAGCACGAGTCGTTGTGACTACTGTCACATCCCCTCTCGCGTGTAGGGGGCGGTGGTGCATGGGGTGGTGACTGGAGTGTGTGAATTCGCGCTAGATATCCTCCTATGCGAAAACATTCTTAAACTCTCGTCGAATTCCCAATGCCCAATGCGATGTGTGCGCGGACGTTGATCCGCGACGACGCCGCCACGCCCGGCTCGCGACCTCGAGGCGCGGGGCCCGCGGGCGCGCGGTTCTGGCGCGCTTGTCCGTCGTGCGTCGCCGCCCACAGTGCCTCCTCACATACACACGCGCGAAAGGGCTTGCCCCCCCTCCCCGCGGCATCACTTCTTCTTGGCCTTCTTGGCGGCAGCCGCCGCCGCCTTGGCGACTCGCGTTTCCTCTGCTGCCACCTCCTGCTTGAGCAGCTCCTGCAGCGACGCTTGCTTCGCCCTTGCTGCCTCGAGCACTGTCTCGGCTGTCCCAAGCACCTCGCTTTTTTCCAGCGCCGCTGCCAACGCGCCGCACTGCAGCTCGAGCCTCTCCAGCGGGGATGTGCTCTTCTGTCCGTCGGGGTGCAGCCAGCTCGTCTCCCCTCCCGCCGCCTCCGCCTCAGCCTCCTCCAGCCGCGGCTCGTCGAGGGCGTGGCGCAGCTCCGACTCGGCCATCAGCATCGAGAGAGCCGAGTCACCCGCGCGCAACACCTCGTCGAGCGCCCCTGCCGCCCGCGCTGCAGCGATGAGCCCTTCGAGAGACGCAATGCCGGCGTCTGCCACCACGGCAAAAGTGTGGCTTGGGAGGATGAGCTCGTCACCCTCGTCGCCATCGGTCACGTGAGCATCCGTGAGTCGTAGGCTCGAGCTCGCGTGAGTGCACTCTTGGAGCGCCAGCTCGGCGTCGACGGATCGCAACACCTGCTCTCCCTGCTCGATGAGCGACGGCAGACTCTCTCGCTCCCTACACAGCTTGAGGCAGGAAGACAGTGGCTTGAGCGGCGATCGCGACTCGAGCGGACGCAGCCGATTCACGGTGATCACTTGCTCCTCGAGCGCAAGCTGCGCCTCCAGCCGAAGTAACGCCGCAGTGCCGGCATCGATGAGATGCACTGATGCGCCGCTGGCGTTGGCAGCGTCCAGCGCGCTTTGCAAAGCCTCCGGCTTGTCCATGGCCGCAGTCGCAGCCTCCAGAGCCGCCTCCGCTGCGCGAATCTTGGAGGCGCACTCTGTTGAGTACCGCACTGGGCGCTGAGAGGGCGCGGAGACCCGATCAACGACAGTGACTGCACACGACTCTCTGCTGCCAACAAAGAGGCCGGAGCTGCTGCAGAGGAAGCGCCGGTCATCCGCCGCGGCCTCCACAGCCTTTGAAAGCAATGACTTGCACCCCGCGTGCTTTGTAACTTGTGCTGCCGTGTTCCCGAACGCGTTGCGGGCCTTGACCGGCACCGGCTTCTCGACCCCATTCACAGTGACGCATGCGGAAAGAAGCGTCTTGACGATCTCGAGGTGTCCTCCCGCGGCCGCGAGGTGCAGTGGCGTGTTCTTCTCGGAGTCTAGCTCGAGAGGCGACATGTTATTGAGCAGCAGCATCCAAACGACGCGCAGATGTCCCTTCCAGCAGGCCCAGTGGAGCGGGCTTGTCGTGGCCCTTGTCGTCACAAGGCTTTGGCCCACAAGGCTTGGCGGGTTGGCGTCTTCTGCTACATCGCTCACGCACCCCGCCTGCTCCACCTCGGCGTCAATCGCCCCTTGCTGGATGAGAAACTCCACCACTGGTGTGTGTCCCTCAGCTGAGGCCCAAGTCAATGCTGACCAGCCCGACTCGTCACGCAGCCGGAGCTCAGCCGTACCGCAGAGCCGCCGTACCGCGTCGAGGTCGCCAGCGGCAGCAGCGTCGATAAACAGTGTAGAGGAGGGCTCATCAGCCGGTACATCATCCGTCATAATGCCTTCTGGCTGTTTGGCGGCCTCTGAGCGCGGCGACCAGAGCGGTGGCCGCCAGGGCGTCGGTTACAGTCCGAGTCGTTGGAAGCACACTTCGGTTAAAATAAAGTCAGTCAGGGGGAGTTACACACGTCCTAGCATGGACGACGGGGCACACGCACTCGCGGAACACAGGGCATTACACACGAGGCGTTGACCGTTGTGTGCGTTCTCAGGGAAAGGCATGACCACAGACAAAAAAAGTATAGTTAGAGGGGCAGCAGTGGGGACCCCGGTTAAATAAAGTAGAAAGCGAAATCCTGAGACGAGATGGGATTTAGGGACATACATGTACATGTCATGTTGTGCATGTGCATGTGCATGTGCGTGCACATGAGCATGCACGTGCACGGGCTCAGGCTCATGCACATGCAATCAGGCGTGGAGCGCGGGGCGCACACTGCTCGGCATTTTTTGTCTGTGGTCATGCCTTTCCCTGAGAACGCACACAACGGTCAACGCCTCGTGTGTAATGCCCTGTGTTCCGCGAGTGCGTGGGCGCCGTCGTCCATGCGAGGACGTGTGTAACTCCCCGTGACTGACTTTATTGTAGCCGAAGTGTGCTTCCAACGACTCGGACTGTAGCCGACGCGCTGGCGGCCACCGCTCTGGTCGCCGCGCTCCGAGGCCGCGAAAGA